TGGTAGTCTATGACTTGTCCAATTTTTTTTTTAAATAAAATTTGTATTTTATTTTTTTTTTGTAAAATTAATCTACATAACTTAAACATAATTTTTAGTTTACGATGGCGTTTTGACCAGATGAATATAGAAATTCAAGTCTGGCGTTCTTATTCTTGACGTAACTGTTTGTCAGACCACCCCCAACAAATTTATTGCAACAACAAATTTTCTATACAAGGTATAAGAAAAAATCACACGTTAAAATTTTTATTTTTTATTCCTCTTTCGAATAAAATTGGTCTGGACCAAAATTCTGCCAGACCAAGCTTAAGCAAGTCTTTCTCTACTGCTTGTAAAGTGCGAGTTGTTTTTGTTTTTGATATAATTGACATCATTCAAATCTTAACCTGTTTAATTCGCCAAAATGTGATGTGCTTGTTTTTAAATGACATTTACTTAGCTAACTAATTAAATAATTTTTTATTGAATTAGAAAAATTAAATGCTTTATCTGTAATATCACTAATAGCAAGGATAAAGTATTATTGTTTAATGCTGATACATTTCATAGTCCAAGCGGCGACCGCCGTAAAAAGGTGGTCAACCAGTATAAGAACAAAAATATATTTCATTACTTTTTGGATATTAGATGAATAACAAACCATCGGTCTGGTAGTCTATGACTTGTCCAATTTTTTTTTTTAATAAAATTTGTATTTTATTATTTTTTTTGTAAAATTGATCTACATACTGTTTGTCAGACCACCCCCAACAAATTTATTGCAACAACAAATTTTCTATACAAGGTATAAGAAAAAATCACACGTTAAAATTTTTATTTTTTATTCCTCTTTCGAATAAAATTGGTCTGGACCAAAATTCTGCCAGACCAAGCTTAAGCAAGTCTTTCTCTACTGCTTGTAAAGTGCGAGTTGTTTTTGTTTTTGATATAATTGACATCATTCAAATCTTAACCTGTTTAATTCGCCAAAATGTGATGTGCTTGTTTTTAAATGACATTTACTTAGCTAACTAATTAAATAATTTTTTATTGAATTAGAAAAATTAAATGCTTTATCTGTAATATCACTAATAGCAAGGATAAAGTATTATTGTTTAATGCTGATACATTTCATAGTCCAAGCGGCGACCGCCGTAAAAAGGTGGTCAACCAGTATAAGAACAAAAATATATTTCATTACTTTTTGGATATTAGATGAATAACAAACCATCGGTCTGGTAGTCTATGACTTGTCCAATTTTTTTTTTTAATAAAATTTGTATTTTATTATTTTTTTTGTAAAATTGATCTACATACTGTTTGTCAGACCACCTTCAACAAATTTATTACAACAAATTTTCTATATAAGGTATAAGAAAAAATTAAACATCAAAATTTTTATTTTTATTCCTTTTTCGAATAAAATTGGTCTGGCACGTTCGTACTTGACCAAAATTCTGCCAGACCAAGATTAAGAAAGTCCTTCTCTACTGCTTGTAAAACGCAAGTTTTTTTTATTCAATCAATTTTTGAATTTTTCTTGATTTTTGAAGCATATTTTACAACAGAATCATACAACAATATTTTCTCATCAATGTACTAAAAACAAACAGATTGATTTTAGAATTGTTTATTAAATTATATTTCAATTTTGTTAAAAATTATTTGTGAAGGTTAAAAAAGTTTTCTGAAGTTATTAGGTTCTAAGTTAGCAAATATTCTAAAGAAGATAATTCATAAAAAAAGATAATTACAAATTACATTTACCGGTAACAAAATCAGAAATATTTGGTTCAGCCTAATATTATTAAATGCACTTAAACCGTAAAATTATTTAGGCAATATACAATATACTTATGTTATTATTTTTTTCATTATTTGTATTAACTCTTTGTGAAGATTTATTAAATTCGTCAATCAGATTAAGGTAACATTTCAAATGATAACCTGCAGATTTTTGAAGTTCAGGTATTAATATTAAATCCCGTACTTGAAATGATTCTTTTTTCTTATTTTAATAAATAAAGAACATCTTTGAAATGTATCAGCATTAAACGATAATACTTTATCCTTGCTATTAGTGATATTACAGATTAAGCATTTCATTTTTCAAATTCAATAAAAAATTATTTAATTATTTAGCTAAGTAAATGTCATTTAAAAACAAGCACATCACATTTTGGCGAATTAAACAGGTTAAGATTTGAATGATGTCAATTATGTCAAAAACAAAAACAACTCGCACTTTACAAGCAGTAGAGAAAGACTTGCTTAAGCTTGGTCTGGCAGAATTTTGGTCAAGTATGAACGTGCCAGACCAATTTTATTCGAAAGAGGAATAAAAATAAAAATTTTGACGTTTGATTTTTTCTTATACCTTGTATAGAAAATTTGTTGTTGCAATAAATTTGTTGGGGGTGGTCTGACAAACAGTTACGTCAAGAATAAGAACGCCATACTTGAATTTCTATATTCATCTGGTCAAAACGCCATCGAAAACTAAAAAATTATGTTTAAGTTATGTAGATCAAATTTGCAAAAAAAAATAAAATAAAAATTTTTATTAAAAAAAATTGGACAAGTCATAGACTACCAGACCGATGGTTTGGTATTCATCTAATACCCAAAAAGTAATAAAATATATTTTTGTACTTGTACTGGATGACCACCTTTTTATGGCGGTCGCCGCTTGGACTATCAGGACTATAAAGATTGATTCACAAAAAAATATTTTGCAGTAGGCCATGACCGTTAAAGACAGACAGAGATACGAATCATGACATGAAAAAATTTTTTTTTTGCAAATTTGCGGTTTTCGCTAGGGATATTTTAAAATATAATAATAATAATAATAATAATAATAATAATAATAATAATAATAATAATAATAATAATACTCTCCCTAATTCATCCCCTTACGAGTGAATTTTAACCCCAAAAGCTGAGCTTGTGCGGGAAAAGGGACGGCTATTATTATTATTATTTGCCGTGGCGCTCCGGGGCGACTTAAAGATGATTGATGGTGCCATTTGACTTACAGGTGAGGAAAACCCGGAAAACCTCACCCACCATCATCGAGACGGTAATGTGTGGCGAATTTTTTTAATCTGCATGTCATATCAACAGAAATTGAATTTATATTAATACGGCACACATCAAATCCTATACCGAACTATGCAATTTAATTAAAAATCCACATGGTCTGGTCTGGGATTCGAAGCCCAGCAGTCTCTGATACATAAACTTGCTTATAAATGAAAAGAAGCGCGTTAGACCGCTACACCACCGTACCCGATAACATCAGGAATAGGATTAAAATAAATAGAAATGATTTTTTTGGAAATTTCGTTAGCTGACTTCTTTAAACCCATCCCAGAAGTAAAAAAGTATGCCATCTTTTATGGCCTCGACAACCCCTTCATGTAAAACATGGTTTTTAATCGCTGTTAAATAAACTTATGTCAAAATTTTTCAGTTTTATTTTCTAAATTAGCTCAACCCACCATTTTTAATCCTGTTGCCACTTGTAATAAACTTTGTTAATAATAAAATACTTATTATATTTATACCTTATATTTATACCTACGAAATAATCATTATTTGAGCATTTAAAGCATAAATAACGAGTTTGAGGCCACGACCACTGATCTGTATTATTTTACTGGATAGGATATAGGCTATATTTAACATACTAAAAATCCGTTTCACCAAGGAGACCGGAAGTGCAACACTGCTGGCCGATTTGGGCAAATTATGGTGGGATCACAGAACTGAATTTTGGGATAATTTGACATACCTAACCTATAACTTGATTAGTTTTTCTTCTTATTCTTCTTCTATTCCTTCTGCGGACAATGTCCTTTGAAAAAATTGTTTTCTTATCAAGGAACCACGCTCAAAAAGTGTTTCTTTGATATTTCAAAGAAAAAAAAATACTGCATAAATAAAATAAATAAATAATTATAATTGCATAAGCTGATAAAAAATGCTATGCAATAGCTTTACCGCGGCAGTCCCCGAGTGTCACACGTATTTTTTGATACTTTGCCACAAGATCATCTAAAAGATGTTTTGAAGATTGTCATTTATTAGAAATTATTTAGCTTAGTGTAATTGTATACATAATTTGTTTGATTATTCACTTTTATATTCCTCAATTTTCAAATAAACGCCAAAGTACTGTTTAAAGTTACTAAGATAGGACTTAGTAAATGATGTGCCTCACAACAATGTTTATAAAATTAATAGAACGAAAACTATTACTTTTCAGTGCTTGTTTGTTTTAAAATGCTACGGTGATACTTTTTAAAAGCCCATTTGTCGTAGTAAGTTGTTTCATAAAACAACAGCAAAACACGAAAACCTCAAAAAACATACCTAATCCTATTTAGAAGAACGGTTAATCTAACCTTAAAAAATAAATTGTATAAATCAGTGTTTCCTATTTTAAATAAACATTGTTTTAATTGAAAATATAGGTAATAATCTAAAATAAACTATATAGTTCTTCTTAAAACAATATAAATTAAATAATTTATAAGACCCTATTTAGACGAAGTACAACTTTATAGAAAATGTACCTAAGATATTCTAGTAGGATTATTTTAATTTAAATTATAATCCTAGAAGAGTTTTTAATACTAAGTTTTAAAACCGACTTAAGATAACTAATAAAAGTATGTTTTTTTAAAAACCTAATAGACCTTAGGAGTATCTTAAGACTAAATATGACAATAATAAAGCTTTAATATACAACCTACTGTTTGGATTAATTTATCTTACTTCTTTATTAGCAAACATATAATTACTATAAAATAATTATTAATTTCTAGGCTTTTATAAAATCCTAATAAAACAAGTCTTATTTGTTCAAAAACTGATTTTTGAATATATGAAAGTATATGGAAGAAACGCATTATATCCGCAAAAGTTGACATCAATTTTCAAAAATATCCTCAAGCACACTGTTTGAGTTCAAAACAAGAAAATATTTTTTGATATTTAGTCATTATACTTACCGGTTCTTCACAGTCTCCGTTAGAAACAAAGTTCAAAAATTGATTATGTGTTTGGGCGCATTCCAAAAAACACCCGCTGCCGTACATTTTACCGTCACTTCCACACATCGGATCATAAAAATCTGGACATGAACATACCTTTAACAAAGAAACACATTCCAAATTTATTTTATTTGGATTGGTTATTTTTTAATGATTAATTGCAAGTCAGTGATAATAAATATACACTCTAGGTCAGTATTTCCCAAAGTGGTCCAGGTGGACCCGCAGGGGTCCACGGGAGACTCGACGGGAGTCTACGTTGGGCGTAATAAAAAATGGGAGTCCACAATCGTAAGCGGGGGTGCATGAAAATTAATTCGGTTTCGATAATGAAGCTTTATACTATTAAATAATTTATTACTCATTTTTCTATGTGATGAAGAAATTCTTGTAAAAAACTTCAACTGTTTATAATATAAACAGTCAACATTTTAAGAAGATCAGCGACTGTTACTTGTAAAAACTTGCAAACTCCATATTCAGTACAACGCGTCGAGACTTGTCGTTGCCAAGCCGCCCGCCGTCCCGCCCGCAGGTACTTTCTCAATTCGTGCGTTAGCAACTCGGGCGTAATATAAAACTACCTGAATTCGTCGCAACTCGGGCGCCCTCCAAAATTGTGCACCTGTGAGTTCGAACTCGGGCGTCGACGGGATATGAAATTTGACCATAGTTTATGATTCTGATTACAATCTGATTCAGGTAGTAATGAATTATCGAAAATTTAAGAGAAATGAATGACATCGCAGAACAAGCTTTGATTTTAACAGATAGCGAGCATTGAAAAGTTAGTTGATGTAAAAAAAAATGAAGATTTTTCCAGTACGGTTTATTTTAGAGAAATCATGTGTAGAATAAAAAATATAGAGCATGAATCGGGATCATTTTTAAATTATTCGCGATTTCTAAAATATTTCCGGAAATAATTTGGTCACTACTGGTATTATAAGTGAAAATAATGAGAAAAATTCGAATTTTGCACTTTACCTCAAATTTCCTGAATTCGGTCTATTTTAGAGAAATGTATGGAACAAAAATTATAGAGAATTACATTGTAAGCAACTTTTATTTAAAGAATTTTCTTTAAAATTCGAATTTTGCACTTTTTGTCAAAATTCTCGAATACGGACCATTTTAAGAAAATCATGAATATGATAAAATATTATACAAATATTACGAAACGCCTCAGAAACATTTCTAAAACATTCCTAAAATGTAAAAATATCCTGTAAATGTAATATTTTATAAATAATAATTTGAAACCTACCAGAAATATAACATACTGATATTTCAGAAATGTATCCAACAACAGACGCATACTTCCAATTATTTAGAATATATGGTTGTCTCTAAAATAAAATTATATTACTTAAAATAAAATGACTACAACATAACCCATCTTCTTTCTCTTCTTACAAATGAGAAATTTTTCAAATCTTGGCCATTTACAACATAACAAACATAAACCAACTTATATTCTAAGTATAATCAATGAAAATGTTTAAAAATATGATTGCAATAAAGTAGAATAATTAATATTTTTAGGTAAAATATAAACAAAACGTCAAAGTATTTCGATAAAATAACGTTTTTATTACGAGTTTTATGTAATTTAAAGAAACGTTAATATTAAACGTGTATGTATCTTAATATCCAACTTTCGGTTGAACCACAATTAATATTTAAATAAACTAGAATAATTAATATTAAAATAACGTAGATATTTGGTTTACATTATTTACCAAACGTTAAAAAGTTTGAAATACAATAATCTTTTCCATATTATATATATTTAACAAAATGATTAACTTTTAGTTACATAACAACGTTTAAATATAATATTAAAATATAGTTTAATGAAAGAGCCACAAAATACAGTAATCTCGACCGAAAAATAAATGCCATCGTGGAAGACTGAACAAACTGTCATGAAATTATTAAGTCGGACGTTGTCTAAGCACGCGGCCTTCACGTCTGGGCAGCCTATTCATGCTAGAGGCGATGGAATATTCTGGGAATGTCGCTGAGGCTCGAGAAACGGGCAGAACGGACGGAGTGTGCCGTTGAGTCAGAATTGGAATTTTTCCCGACCATCGGGATTATTCTGGTTACAGAGTTGGCTTGATATAAATATCGCGTGTGTAAAGACGTCAGTTTATTATAGACCGTTTTAATGTAGAACATTGTATTGGAAAGTTAAAGTGTAAGAAATAAATTAGAATTGTTAGTTAGTATTATATAAATTAAATAGTACGTCTGAAATAAATTGAAAATAGTGTGTTTTTAAATAAATAAACTAAAAATAAATTAGACTTTCGTCACAAAATGGAAAAACTGACTTGCGAAGTACACTCGAAATATTAAGACATGTTGTAAGGTTCGATTAATTTTTTTTTGATAAAACTAATAAAAAAAAAGTTTTTTATATGTAGCCAACTTACACAGACATAAAAAATGTATTAAAATATAAATTAAATAGCTAGCCGAGGTAGGTACACTATTATTTATCAATTTAATTATTATATAAAAATTAAATAATTTTTTTTTTCAATAAAAACGACAATTTCAAATGTCATAACAATGTAAAGTAAAGACTATTTTCGCAGAGAAAGATAAATAAAAAATCTTGTTTTATGAAAGTTACATGATATTTAAAAACTGGCAAGCTCCTCTTGTACGGCACTCCGTATATAATTTTAAGTTTAAGCCGAAAGCACCTTCTCAGGTTAAACTAAAGAGGTGACATTCATTATATTACTATAATATTGGTACTGATCCTTGAACGCCCGAGTTGCGAAGGGTATTTAATCTACCTGTAGCCTTACGCCCGAAATGCGAAAAATTAAGTATTCCGCTCGAGTTGCGATGCCCGAGATGCTCATAAATCCGTCCGCAACGCTTGTTCAGATGTGCAAATTAATATTATTAACACTTTACTTTTCTTTTCGAAAGTCTAGAAACAAATTCAGTCACTGGCCAACACTAATATCGATTCACTTTTCTTTATGAAATTCCAGAAACAAATTAGTAACGGTTATCCTCGACATTCGTATTTATATTGGTTAAAAATAAAACACGTTCATGCAAGATTGCAAGCAAATACACCATAAGTCGTATTAATTTGCACGTCTGAACAAGCGTTGCGGACGGGAAGGCGGCCGGCGCGGCAACGAGACAAGTCTCGACGCGTTGTACTGAATATGGAATATGCAAGTTTTTACAAGTTACAGTCACTGAGCTTCTTAAAATATTATCTGCCTATATTGATAAGAGAAGTCAACATTTTAGTAACTAAAATGTTGACTGTTTATATTATAAACAGTTGAAGTTTTTTACAAGAATTTCTTCATCACATGGAAAAATAAGTATCAATTATTTAATAGTATATTGCATTACTATCGAAACCAAATTAATTTTCATGCACCCTCGCTTTCGATTGTGGACCCCCATTTTTTATTACGCCCAACGTAGATCCCTGTCGAGTATCCCGTGGACCCCTGGGGATCCTTCTGGACCACTTTGGGAAATACTGAGTTAGATAGTCCCAACAACGAATGTTTTTAAATTTGCACTTAGGCCCTTTTTCGTCCAAGCCACAGAACTTATGTAGTAAACAATTTGTTTTACTTATCTGAGATAAAAATGATAATAAAGGACGAGTAATTTATATCGTAAAACCCTTTTAATGATTAATCTTTAATATTTGCTCGAAAAAACCGGTTAAGCTTTTAACCATTTTATTTTTGTTGACACCTAAGCTAGGTGGTTGTAAAACTGCGAGACAGTGTTGCCACTTGTAACATAGTTATGGAATTTTCCTTAAAATTAAGTTAAACCATTATGTGTAACATAATCGATAATTTTGTATAACATAATCGATAATTGCAATATAATTTTGTAGTCTAGGAATTTTTTAAATTCGCAGGTTTTATTTTTACTGTACGAAATCAATTTAACAAATTAAAATTATTTTACTTAATCAGTGCTGACCAATCTTAAAAAGCTATAATAAAAGTCTAAAGTACCATCTGCATAAATATTACGTACTTGGAAAACGTCTCTTGCTTCGCGGAGCGGAGAATCCACGCACTACATTATAAAACCGGAAAACATTGAACTTATGCAAATAATTGATAATCATTGGCGACTGGCGACTGTATTTTGTCAGTCAGAGTTAATTGGAAAGGTAAATAATTAAATATTAATTGACAAATACTGGTACAAAATTTCCCAAATTCGTGACTTATCTAATAATTTAATGTTTAAAGAATTGGTACAGTGATACTGTAAATTCATTATTAATAGCTTCTTAAAGTGTAAATGGTGAATGCTATAATTTTAATGTTACACAGGGGATGATTAGATTAACATCCCATGAACACGAGGAAGATGGAAATTAAAATAAGCATGACGTGTTTTTTTACCAAAACAACAAAACTGTAACATAATTTTCGAAAAAAATTTATAATTTTGGGAGCACTGCATGATAATTTCTTTATAGACTGGTGGCAACACTGCTGCGAGAGTCTTAAAAGTCAGTTTAGGTTGTAATGCATGTGGAGATTGTGAACTGGGGCTCTGACAATTCTGTGTCAGAGCACTATTAAAATAATAAAATATTATAGTTTCCAAATATTATTCTCTTACTTCTCTTTTTTATATATCTTATTTTTTTGAGGAAGGAATTTTGATTGTCCCTAGGTTTTTCTTTTTTTTTTCTTTTTAGAATAATATGTTAATGATGATGACGACTTACCTCTGGATCATTGTAACACATCGATTCTGTGACTAAGTATAATTGTGGATAAAACTTTCTGGCACAATTCAGAAAACATTTATTAGCATAGGTTTCACCGTCAGTTCCACAAACTGGTTGAGAAGTTTGTTGACATGCACAAACCTTTAATAAAAATTGTATTTATTATTTTAACGAATAATAAAATTTACAACAGTTTTATATTCGTCTCCTTCTCTATGAATTTCGTATACTTACAATCCGTTTATCCTCACACCTTCCGCGATAGACAAATCCTATTTTAGGATCATATTTTTTGCTTGTGCACTCCAGTATGCATTTGTTATTATAAGTCTTACCATCTGATGCACAAATTGGATTGTAATTCGATGGACATCCACATGATTCTAGATGACTAATTTCTTCATCAGGATATATTTCATTAGTATCATATTCATAATAATCGTTGCCATATATCTTGAAAAATAATAAAGAGGATTATGCATCATGATCATAGAATGTTTGGTTGACTTATTTAACAAAAATAAAATTATTGTCATTATTATTCACGCTCAAAATCGGCAAATATCATGTGATAAATTTAGAATTATTATCATGTGACTGGTTATTTGACTTAAATATTGTAAATGAAATTTTTAGTCAACTGGAAAGTAATTGTAGTAGAGGAGGTAAAAGTACAAGCCAGAGAGAGGGATAAAGTGTACAAAAAGTTTCAAAGAGCCTTAGGTCCAGATAAAAATGTATTGTGAAATGAATACAAAAATAAAAGAAATATAGTTGTTAATTCATTGAAGTGCAAGAAAAAAGAGTTTTATAAACATAAAATAGATGAACATAAAAATTATTTTAAGGAAATGTGGAAAACACTAAAATAATTAATTGAAAGTAAGAATATGGAAATTAAATTTGACTCGGTTGGGTTTTCTGTTGATTGATCTGTATCTCTCGCTAAAACGAAAGAAGAAGCAGCCAACAAATTAATAAATTTTTTGAAAATAGTATATGTGAAATAACAAATTCAATACCTTCAATTTATGATTGGTCATCAAATTTTTTAAATGATAGTCAATCAACATTAACTGATTTTAAATTAATTACATTAGATCAACTAAAAAAAAACTGTTTAAAAAATAAGGCAAGCTATGATGAGATATTGGGGTCTATTCTGTAATAATTCCTTTATATTTAACGGCCTTTAAAAATATTGGTGGCCTTAAATATATTTTCGTATTCGTATATTTTTTTATTGGACTTTTACTTTTTGAATAACAGCTACTTGAAAATTTTGCTGGGTGAAAAAAAAGTTATCCATATTATGGTCAGCTATAAAAAACGATTTTAGCCAAAATTTTTTCCTCACAAAACTATAAAACTTTCGTCTGGAACGTTTTTTTTTTTTTTTTATAAAAGGCGGTATTTAGCTGTAACACTTTAATTTGAACACCTGGTAAAATAGTAGTTTTTCTAGATTTTAAACGAGCTTTTGAGACAATAGATCGTAAAATTTTTATTTGTAAATTGAAATATTATGGTTTTGCAGGACGAGTCCTGACCTGGTTTGAACAGTATATGACTGATTTATTACAATATGTAAAGCTAGGTAAATCAACATCCGAAATGCTAAAAAATAACTTAGGAGTACCGCAAGGAAGTATATTAGGGCCGCTTCTATTTATTATATTGTTACACAGGTATTTGGTATCACAATTTATTTCAATTCAACTTTACAATAACTCAATTCAACTGATACAACAACTCCAATTAATAACATTAACATGCAACGTCTATCATAAAACTGAAACACTGACGTCAGGTCGTCGACTTATATAGCTTGCTTGACCTTCTCCAACCTTCTCGAAATGTTATCTAGAATATTCTTGACCGGTAATGACATTTCTGGAACTTCTGGAATAATCTATCTTCTTTTTCTATCTGTACGTTTCCTATGATAGCCGCAGGCTACTGCAGGGTGCTGCGTAACATTGCTCCCTCCTCTCTAGTTATTCGCCCCGAATAACTTAATTACTAGGATCTGGTTGGAGCCAACGGGGAGGATCTGAACCACGGTATGGCGCTAACTTCTCAATGTGAACTACCTTGGGTTCACTTCTCGTTGTCAACTGAATGCGATAGATCAGCAGCCCTATTCTTGACGTATTATCAATCGCAAACTACTTGCGTGTGCGTTTAATAAATTGACTTCTGTCATATGTGTTTAGTCTTTAATTTAAGGGTTTTTTTTTTTAATGGATTCGTATTAGACTTAGTAAAAACTTTGAAGATTTGATTATATCGTGGTTATACCAGTGCAGAGACATTATTCATTCATTTTATATTTTAAGTGAACAACAGTTTGTGCAAACATTTAGAATTTAAAAAGAAATGTCTCAATTTCATGTTTTCCTGATGTCTAATAGTTTCATTAATTCTTGCCATAATTTGGATTCAAAATTTCGTCCTTGGTCTGAAAGTAATTCCAGGGGGACTCCGTGTCTCGCAATGACGTTCGTCATAAATGCTTTTGCTACTGTCGTCGCTTCCTGATTAGGAATAGGCACTATTTCGAGCCACTTTGAAAAATAGTCCATAACAACCATCAAGTATTTGTTTCCCCTTTCTGTTAAGGGAAGTGATCCAAGAATATCAATGGCAATTCGTTCGAAAGGCTCTCCGGAAAGGTACTGTGCCATTTTACCTTTACTTCTTGTTTTGGGCCCTTTTCTGCCATTACAGAGGTCACATTCCTTACACCAATCTTCTACATCCCGTCGGAAATTGACCCAATAAAATCTTTCCCGAACTCGTGCAAATGTCCTTTTGATACCAAAGTGTCCTCCTAAACGACTGCTATGAAGCTCCTTCAATACATTTCTGATCTGTAAATTCGGCAGAATCACTTGGCGTACTACATGTACTCCATCGGGGCTCTCCCACTTCCGGTGCAATAGACCATCGTGAAGATACAGGGAATCCCACTGAGCCCAGTACTCTTTAATGGTTCCACTATATTTGGCTATCTCTTGCCATGTAGGTATTACTTCATTTCTGAGCCATTCTCGGACAACCTTCAAGACATTGTCTTTCTTTTGAGTCTTTCTGAGGCTTTCAAGGATGATTTCGTCTTCGTCATACTCTGGCTTGATAGTGGTCGCCTGTAGACTAACTTCTTCAACCAGCTCCTCTCGTTCTTCAAGCCTTTTACAGTACCGGCATTGTCGTTCTAAACAGGGTCGCCTGGAGAGAATATCTGCGTTGCCATGGAGACGTCCTCTTCGATGCACTATCTTAAAGTTATATTGTTGTAGTCTTTCTATCCATCTAGCAACTTTTTTTTTTTTTAAATTCATCAGCCACTGCAAGGCACTATGGTCACTTCTAATAATAAAACTTCTGTTAAAAAGGTAAGTATGGAAGTGTTCAAGAGCTTTGACAATAGCTAATAGTTCTTTCCTGGTGACGAAATAATTATTCTCTGCTTTTCCCAAGGTCTTACTAAAGTAAGCAATTACTTTCTTTTCCCCGTCTTGATAGCACGGCGCCCAAGCCGTGTTGGGATGCATCACAGTCCAAAATAAATAGTCCTTGTTCTCGAAGATAGGCTAGGATGGGTGCTGTCGTCAGTCGCTTTTTCAACTCGGTGAAGGCATTTTGGCAATCCAGCGTCCAGTCAAATATACTACTGTTTTCAGTTAGTTGATGAACGGGTTTAGCAATTCGGCCAAATTATTTGACGAATTTCCGGTGATATGAGCACAGCGCAAGAAAACTTCTAATTTCTCTTTTATCTTTTGGTTTAGGCCAATCTTTGATAGCGATAATTTTCTCCGGATCAGCTTTGATTCCTTCCCCAGAAACGATGTGTCCCAAATAATAGGCTTCCGATTGGATTTATTGCGACATTTCTGGAATAATCTATCTTCTTTTACTTGTACTTTCACCTATGACAACCGCAGCACACTGTAGAGCGATGAGTAACATTCCACTTCTTTTTCTATCTGTACGTTTCCTATGATAGCCGCAGGCTACTGTAGGGTGCAGCATAACAATTTATTTAAATGACATTAATTATATTGAGTGTGACTTTATTAATCTATTTGCAGATGATACACTGGTAGCATGTTATGGGTACAGCCTTAAGGAAATTTTAAATAAACTGAATAATATGTTGAGAGTCTTAACCCAGTTTTTAAATAAAAAAAAAACAAACTTAATACTAAAAAACGAAAGCAATGATTTTGGGAAGTAAATATAAATTAAATCAAATAAACTATAATAAATACAACATTAGAATTAAAAACGAGAATGTTGAATGGGTTAATGAATTTGAATATTTGGGATTTATTTTAGATGAAAATCTATTATTGAAACCTCACTGCGAATATGTATGCAAAAAAATATCAAAAAAGCTATTTTTCTTCTCAAGGATTGCTTCAAATCTCTTCCTTTTTTCTAGATTAACAGTGTATAAAACTATTATACAAACTCATTTTGACTACTGCGGGTCGTTACTTTATAAATTGGATAATAGCTGTTTACAAAGACTACAAAAATTGCAAAAGAGAGAAATGAGAATAATCCTTCGATGTAACAGATACACATCAATAAATGGTATGCTGACCACTTTAAGTTGGATTTCAGTCAGACAAAGATTTTCTTATTTAGCAATGACTTTTGTTTATAAAGCAAAAAATAAAAAACTTCCCGAGTACTTCAATGATTTTATCATATACAATAATGAAATACATAACTACAAGATCTATTAATAATTTTATTATTCCACAAACAAGACCAGCTATAGCAACAAAATCTATTTTTATATGTGGATTACGTGAATTTAATGCTTTGCCTAGTGAAATTAAAACGAGTACCTCTTTACCTCAGTTTAAAAATGTTTCATACAATTTATTTCCAGTCCGTAAATTAAATTAACTAAATTAACTTTATAACTTTGTATGTTTACTTTAATATGTATTTATTTTATTTTAACTTTAGTACTAAACGTCTTACTTTTATTACTGATTTTATTACTAATTCTATCAAGATTTTATTTTATTTATTCAACTGAATTTGTGCAGACTGGCGGTAATATGTAATATTTAAAAAAAATACTATGTATTAGGACTTCCTATATTAAATAAAGATTCTATTCTATAGAATAACTACATATTACCACACAATTCCCATATATTATACTCAAAAGCTGAATATTTGTTTTTTATTCTCAAAATACGTAGCTATATTCCAGTGATTTGTTAATGATTTTTGTTTTAGTGGAATTTTCTTATCGGACTTTTGTAGACGTTTTGAATTTTACTGTTTCAAATTGAAACAAATATGAAGTTTATATCTCTTGGTTTAATGTGGAATATTCCAACTATTTAATATGCCTAAATGCAATTATGACATTTAGGTTTTTAAACAATTTTACTACAAATAAACATACTAAGTTTATCTAATTATCGACGTATAAAAAAACATAAATTTTTTGATTTTCTTTTTATTTTATAAAAACTAACGATCTAACCAACAAAAAAAAAATAATAGCATTTCTCTACGACTATGTAATAATAAGTTGATTCTGAATACATTTTTAGTTTAAGTATGATTACATTCTAGTGGAATAATGAAATCAAACTTTAATTTTAATAGTTTTTTAAGTACCTACCTGTTTTCAATGTAAGTAACTAATTTATTTAACAATAAAAATCCCTTTAAAACACTTACTTAGTTACTTGATCTCTTATTTGTTATTGTTTGCCAAAATCCCGACTCTTGCCTCCACTATATAAAATTTTTAGATTTTGGGATCACCCTGTATAACAGTCTATAATAGTCTTGGAGAAAGTATAGTCTTGGAGAAAGTATAGTCTTCAACTGGCATAGAATATAGCTATTTTTCACTGAAATTATTTCAACACTTGCTATCGCTTGTGATTGAATAATACTCGTGAATAATAGCCGTCATTCTATGCTCGTTGAAAAATATACTATTTTTCAATGGTGTACCTCATTATTTATAACTCTAGATATTAAAATTATAGTTTCAGTAAATTTTTTTAGACGCTACCATTTGTATCTAGAATTGTTAAAATATAGAAAAAACATATAATTATTTGAATAATTTGAAAATTTGAAATAAATCTCAAAACTCCCCCAACAAATTATTAATACAATCCATGAACCCCAAAAGTATCGAACTCAAACATCCCTGTTTGCTAGACAAGTGTCTCTTCCACTAGACCATCCACTGTCGAGATTCCTAGACAGACGTTTGATGTGCTAGTTCGGGCCAGACGCCGATCAGGCTTGTTCTCAAATCTTCAAATATCTCTTTACACCATCGGTGTATATGAAAAATGCATTTGTGCATTCTAAGCCCATATTTTCATATGCGGGGGTTCAGTTTTCAATGTAGGTTAAGAGACGTAAACCCATGCATAAACCTAAGTATAAAAATTTTGAATTTAATATATCGTAAATTGCAAATCAAAATTCGAAACATCAAAAATATCTGAAATATCTGGGTAATATCAAGTATTTATATCTGAACGCCAAGAGTAGTGTTGTAACATCGAAATCGATTGTTTTCTTTCGATTGTCGATATATTTTAAATTGGAATAAATTGAAATAAACTGGAATAAATTGGAATAAATTGGAATAAATTGGAATAAATTGGAATAAATTGGAATAAATTGGAATAAATTGGAATAAATTGGAATAAATTGGAATAAATTGGAATAAATTGGAATAAATTGGAATAAATTGGAATAAATTGGAATAAATTGGAATAAATTGGAATAAATTGAAATAAATTGGAATAAATTGGAATAAATTGGAATAAATTGGAATAAATTGGAATAAATTGGAATAAATTGGAATAAATTGGAATAAATTGGAATAAATTGGAATAAATTGGAATAAATTGGAATAAATTGGAATAAATTGGAATAAATTGGAATAAATTGGAATAAATTGGAATAAATTGGAATAAATTGGAATAAATTGGAATAAATTGGAATAAATTGGAATAAATTGGAATAAATTGGAATAAATTGGAATAAATTGGAATAAATTGGAATAAATTGGAATAAATTGGAATAAATTGGAATAAATTGGAATAAATTGGAATAAATTGGAATAAATTGGAATAAATTGGAATAAATTGGAATAAATTGGAATAAATTGGAATAAATTGGAATAAATTGGAATAAATTGGAATAAATTGGAATAAATTGGAATAAATTGGAATAAATTGGAATAAATTGGAATAAATTGGAATAAATTGGAATAAATTGGAATAAATTGGAATAAATTGGAATAAATTGGAATAAATTGGAATAAATTGGAATAAATTGGAATAAATTGGAATAAATTGGAATAAATTGGAATAAATTGGAATAAATTGGAATAAATTGGAATAAATTGGAATAAATTGGAATAAATTGGAATAAATTGGAATAAATTGGAATAAATTGGAATAAATTGAAATAAATTGGAATAAATTTAGCGGCGATGAGCACTTTTGTGGGATGGGTAAAAACTGTGAAACTCGCGTGAGGACACGTGGGCTGCGAAAATTCGTAAGACGGTTGGAGAGTAGTGTTGTAACATCGAAATCGATTAATCGAACAATCGATTGTTTTCTTTGGATTGTCGATATTTTTTAATCGATTGTAAGGGTTTCGATTAATTAAAAAAATCTATTTTATAAAAATCTATTTTTATAAAAAAATAATTTCTAAAAAAATTTTTTTACGAGACTTCTTGTACGAAAATTTATTTATTCTCATGACGCATCTGCATTGCTTCAAAAAAAAATTGGAAAACGCTTTGATGAATTGCCAATGATTTTAGTGGAGATTTCAACATAAACTTTGCAGACGATAAAAATCAACTAATAATTGCATTTTTAAATAATGAATTTGGTTTAACTATGTCAAATGATCGCAATCTTAGCACAACGAAGTACAGAACTACTATTGATGCGGTCTTTATTAGACATTTAAATAGGTGTTCGTTTCTTACTTCAGCTATCATAAACCTATCGTATCAGTTTAAGAGATTGGCGATGATGGTTCTGGTAATAATGATGGTGAAAAAGTCATCGAAATTATGGATGTAAGTTGATTTTTCTGAGATATAAACTTTTTAATGTAATACAATGTAATTTAATGTAACATAAATTGTAATGTGTGTGTATGATAGCGCAATAAATATTGTATCTTACCACATAAATGATAGTACATTTATATTGATAATAAAAGCAATTCGTTCAAAATTATTCCCTAACTATTCCAAAAAATCAAAAATGCACAACGTTAATATTCAAGTTTTCACTTTTGCCGGCACTCCCGGAGTGCAACCCGTGTTTTTTTTTTATTTAACTACAAATTTTGACTAACTTATATTAAATTTATAAATTTTGTTTTTCTTCTGGTTCTTTTAATTCTTCGGTTCGTTTAGCTGTCATTCGCTGAAACAACGAAATTATCATTCTAGAAGAGTGAATTCTAAATGAGTTTTATTTGAACTTTTTGTAAAAACTTGAAATATTAAAATTTCTGGTTTAATGTCAGATATTTATTGCGCCCTTAAATTTAGTAGAAGAGCCACGCTGCCACTTTTAACAGCAAGTTAACATGAAACTTACACGTAGAAAATATATATAAAAGAGCACACATTGCTTATGAACAATGCCGCCGAAACATGGGGCGCACCTGGGGTTTTAACCCCAGAGTGGTCACATAAATTTACACGCCCATCATTAGACGATTGGCGGAATTTTGTTCAAAACACGTTTGTTCGAAAACCGTTTGTTCGAAAATACGTTTGTTCGAATGAGAGGTTGTCCGAAATACTTATATCTGAAAATACTTTTAATCAAAAACGTTATGTTTGAAGATAGTTTTCTTCGAAAAATATTAGTTCAAACAATGCTTGTGTAGTGACTTACATTTACTACATATCTTCTTCACATTTGCATTGCATTACTTGCGTCACACGCGTCAAACACCCGTTATTCCTTGATAAACTTTTACTGCAGGGCAGTTCTATAAAGACAAAAGATGGAGCTCATCATCTCGTTTCTAGGAATCAAATATTAATTTGGATTTTGAGTGTTTTACACACGACATGACGTTCATTTAAAATACAATATATATCCTTCAATTATTTATTTAATTATTTATTTATGATGGGATTAAAATATATTTAAAGATCCCACAATGGTGACCCCGAATAAACAGCCCGAGATGGAGCCACATATAAACTATCACCCACAATGGATCACGTCGGGGTCACCATACTAAAAAGTAATAATTACTATTATTCGCCTATAATAAGCACTACAATAACATTATATAAGCACTGGCCTATCATGGAATTACTTACATTGGAAATAATATAACTCGGAACCTCTGCCCGGAACGAAAAAGTAATTGAAATGAGTCGTAATGTTTTCTTTAAGAAGATCTTTCAATTGGTATAAAATGTATCTTTATTGAGGGTGGGGCAATTTCCCATACATTTCTGCTCAATATCCATTCATCTTTATTTTGACGAATTTCTCATAGATTTACATTTTCAATTATGTAACATACTTGTTACTTTCCCTATTTAAATTAAGTTTGTCAGAGTGATATAAGGGACGGGATTGGCATTTGACTGTTGAGATATAAAAGAACAGAAATTTTTTGTATTTTTTTAATTCTGCTAATAAAATAGATCTAAAAAATAGCATCAGCCAGAATTTGAAGACTTAACCTTAGAACGGGAACGATTCACCTTAACTGTTGCGCTAACAACTTTTGAAATGATTTAGTTATTAAAATTTACATTTTTGTAGTAAATATAAACGAATATTTAATACTTATCGATTCTACACAAAAATCACTAATTTTTAATCACAATAACTAAAACATATATCAACAATAATAATAGTACACGATTCATTAAATATGAAGTGTAATTGGTGGATTTCATAACCATACAGTGTACTTACGAAAAGGGATATAAAACTATATCCTTTTAGTAGACTGATATGGCCTACTTATTCTCGACTGACATATCGTGGTATTTTAACTCCGGCAATTTAATAAAGCCGCTGTTTGCTATTTTTAACAAGAGTAATAGTAGGATGGATGGATGCTATTTAATTGATATAAGCTTACAGTTTAATTTGGCATTACAAAATCATCTAAAAGTGTTTCTTTTTTTGTCTTTTTTGATTATAGATGCTTACCTTTGTATGAATTACCGATATATCAAAAACAAGCATCAAAATTACTAACAATATCATATCGACACTTACTTTAAAAATAAACTACCTAGATATTTTATTCAATTATACGGTATTTATTTTACATTAAGTTTTTTGTGATCGAGTGATATTAATTCGTTTAGTAACAAATACCAATTTTATGGTTGATATCACGATTTTTAACCCTCATCATAAAATTAATTAAAAAGTGATTAGCTGTTTTTTATGAATTGCCGATGAAAAATTTAAAAATGATATATTTAGGTCTCATTTAGTAATATACAGGGTTGGTCTCAACTTATTTTAATTTATTTAGTTCTGTTTTCGTATTTCGTATTTTAATGTTTAGACTGGGAAAGAAGTACACACTCAGTGGTTAAATGATTGGGCTGAATTGAGGAGAATACGAGAAGTAAGGGTGAAAAAATTACCTTACGTCAATAGACATCTATCCAGAGTTAAAATTGAATAAAAATACATGGGTTAAAACATTGAATACATTTTTGAAAAAGGGGGTGTTGAAAATTAGCAAAACACACTCTTATATTTCGTATTTTACAAATACATTAGCAGTTAAAAATGTTAAATTTTAACGGTACATCGTACCTATTAGACAGTGGACACATAGACAGACTGACACATGACATAGGCGTAAGGAGGGAGTGTTCGACATTGGTTCTGGAGTTAACCGATCCATGTGATCTATACTTATTCAAAAATGATACAATGGTTGAAAAGTTGGAAAGGGTATAATAAGTTTCTGCAGGACATGATCCACACAGCGGTCCAGAGAGACTTATTATAATGGTTTGGGAAAACTATTGTAGCTTCGAATTTTTAGTGTAGAGGAAGGGCAATGACTCTAGATCCATACTAGGCCAGAGAACTTGAAGGTGATAGACGTGACTAGACCATGATCCATACATGGCTGTTAGTCGAAGAGTGAAGGGTAAATTAGAAAAAAGATAAGAATAGAGAGAGAATGTTGCCGAAAAGTATTATGAAAACTTACTTATTTTTAATTATTTTTTTAACGTGGCGAAAGTGGCCTTTTTTTTAATAGGTATATAAGAGGTTTAATATTCTCTCTAAATATTTTGTATGACTTTCAAGTAAGATTATTTGCAGTAATTTTACCCCAATCGATCTTTTATTCACTTGTAAAAAATATCAAAATTGTCGAGTTTATGATGAACAAAAAATATTGAATAAAACCTTTAGTTGAGAGTCATATTAACATTTTAAGAGCAAAGAGAACACCTATAAAATTTCTAATTCCTTTATTTTTTATCCGTTTTTAGAGAAATTTTCAGCAAATACAAATAATAACAAAACTTAGGGTGTAAACCTTCTAAAAGTATTTATTTTAATAAATTTTAAAAAGAATAAAAAAACATTTACGCCCCTTTCTGTATTAAATCTATGAAAATTTGCTGCTTTTTGTTTTAATAAATATTTAGTAGTTTTTAAGTGTAAGGATTTCCCACCTTTTTTTCTTAAATGTATCTGTAGAGTTCTCCCTTTTCGTTGCTCGAATTTAAAGATCTCAATATTCTCGAGACACCCTATTCTTGGCAAGAACAGATTCACAGGAGAAATTTTTTTTTTTTTAACATATTACGTGTATATTTGAACAAAATAACGCAAAAAGAGAAAAACTATTTTTTTTGCTTAGTTTTGATTTTACAGGCCCCTATTTTTATGTATATTGTCAGATACGCTGCCAGTTTGGCGGCAATATTGTTTTGTATCCTACGAGATACTACGCCTGGTTAAGAATACATACGTTTGGTGTTCTCTCTGGTCAAACTGTACACTAATGACATAGGCGGCACGTTAGGCAGTTTTTTCGGGCATATAATTCTAAACCTTTTTAGCAGGAAAGTCAATAATGAATATTTTTGCATGTTGTTTTATACTACAGAACTGTGGATATAGATACGTCTTTATTTTGGTTTTGACCACAAATAATAGAAGCAGTAAAGTTAACCATATTTTTGAAATTCGCTTTACTCAGTAAAGAGTACGCGCCTTTAATTTCAAATAAATAACTTAAAATAATTCAAGTAGATAGGAAAACTCATAATTATTTATAAAAATCAAACAAAACTTGTAATTTTATAAAAAAAAGTTAAAAATAGAGAAAGTTGAAACAAAACTAAAACTACAATACGAATAAACAAATAAAAAAACGTAGCATTCATATTATATAAATTTATTGCAGAATAATAATCAAAATATATAGAATCACTGAGTTAATTTACTAAATATCAAACATAATTTCCAATTCTATAAAAAAAAAATTTAAATCACAGAAAGTTTATGCAGCCAGGTCTAAGAAAAATTTTGTTCGGTTGGCCTACAAATAAAAATAATAATATAGTGTACCTACGCCATTGAATTCCACGGGCGGGATTTTTTACTGAGTACTTGGTAGCATGTCCCACCAGATACAAATTTAATTTACTATGTACTTGGCAGCGTATCTCCTCAGAAACAGAACATTTTAGACACTCTCTAATTTTTTTATGTTAGTATTTTACTAACGTTTGCATGTAGTACAATAGTATTGATATATTTCTATGTGTATGCATACTCATATCTTATTATCGCGCCTAATTTAAATAAAAAATATTTTATAAACACGTGTACTCACTATTTCTTAAAATGTTCGATTTCACTAACATGCATCTGTTTCAAATGACATATCTCGACTAAAATTGAAACAATTAATTTCAAACCTAAACGGCCCTTAATACAGGTTATGGTACATACGGTGTTGCCAACATCCCCACATTTAACGATTTGCTACTTACAAAAAAATCGGGAAAATTGGTATCTTGAGAGATACGACGCCAAAAAAAGGGTTAAGAGTTATTAAATCTCGTTTTTTACTTTTGGTTGCAAATCTACACTTGTTCCAAAAAACAAAACAATTTTTGCCAGGTTTTAAAATTCTTTTTTGCATATCAACTCTTTTGCCTACATAAAAAATGCCCGCAATATCATCTTAGGATCAGGAAAAACGCGTTTAAGTTATATTTAGAATTTTTTTAAAAAGTAATAATCCGTCACATAGTGACAGGTTTAGGTGCATCATTTTCGCATACAAGCCTCGAAGAGGGTTGAAAAATACATTGATTTTAAATAAAATGAAAGAAAATTTACGAGTAGCGGCTGGGGATAACACATGGAAAATTTGATTTTCCCTAACAAAAACCAAAGGTTATTTGTTGTCCATTTTTCCACGCAAGCCGTTTTCACTATATGATTAATTATTAGAACTAGGCTTACGAAAACCAAAGCCTTTAATGTTGCCAGTAGCTAAAATGTTAAAATAAGGGCGTAATCTTCTAAGGAAAAAACGAGATTTTGTCCGATTTTTCCACACAAGCCCATCGAATGTATTAAAATGTACGTCGTCACTAGTCCTAAAAACATATTTTCTTGAATGATCCGAATGTATAAATGCATTTTGGGATCCGAAAATTTTTCTGATGAAGCAATTCGAATTTTCCATGTGTTATCCCTAAGAGCCACTCGTAAATTTTCTTTAATTCTACCCAACATCGATGTACTTTTCAACCCTCTTCGAGGCTTGTATGCGAAAATGGGGTACCTAAATCGGCCACTATCTGACGGTCTATAAATATCCGGTCACATGGCTGCAATTTCTACATTAAAAGTAGCGAAACAGGACTCTTAGAAAATACCCGAAAAGGCATACTTTTATTATTGAAGTATATTATATTATTGCGGTCAGAAATAGTAAAAATTGTTCGATACCAAACTTAATTTAAATTTCTCAGATCGCATAACCGCTCCCTCTACCCGGACCTAGTACACCTTGTTTACCCCTACCCTGCTCTCAATTACAACGAGCGGTCAAATAACGACGTGCCACTTTTCGCTCTCAAACGAGGAAATATTTAACTGTTATACTACGGGCGAAACTAATTTAAAACTAATATTTTTCTTGATTTAAAAAGATGTGTCATCTGTAGGCTTAGGCAGTAAATTTATTTTCCATTAATTACTCACTTCACAGCTGTTACAATTTACATTACCAAATTTCCAATTCCTTCATTGTTGCTCTCGCACTAACGCAGTTTATAAGCATACATCAATCATTTTTCCTTTCCCAAATGAACCTCACAAATGTATTCAGAACAGGAAACTCGAAACAAGAGCTTTTATTATTATTATTATTTTAAGGAAGACATCCGTTTTGAAGGTTGGAACATTTACTGAAAAGGAACGTTCCCTTTGTTTCTTGGGAATATTTAGTAAATGGGTCAGACCCGTTAAAATAAATACAAACAAATATGGATTTTGTGAGCTATATTTTTACATGTTTCCTGATTTATTTTAGCTACTAGTTATTGTAATATAATATACTGAAAATACATGTTGGTATATTATTCATAGATTGCTAGTTGAGCATCACCTCTTCAAAAAAAAAAACTAGTTTAATCATTAAGCCATATTCGAGCGGTCCCTTTGGTTTAAAAATATTTTCGACAACTTTTAGAATCAGTTTTAATAAAACGTCATAGGTTTTGAAAGCACTCAAATAAGTGATTTTAAAACAATGACGTCACTAACAGTTTAAATTTGTCAATTTCAAGTCCATAGGATCCATACGTGAGTATTTTGTGGATCCCTAGCCTTTCTCAATGGATCTGTACTAAAGATAATGTTATATTTAGTATCCACCTTTAACCAGTTATTTAGAAAGACTCTGAACCGAATAACTTTTCTATTTTTCTCTTATAACCATACAAACATCTTTTTTACATTAATTTTATTGTGTACGCCGTCTATGCTTTACTATATGATGCTTATCTATTATTACTTTTTTTGACATTAATGACACTTCTATTTCTTTGAACCGTTCTCGAGAGGACGTTTCAAAAACAGACTCAGCTGGTTTAAACCCATATACTTTGATTACAAACGTTTATTAGCTCATTAAATATAATGAATTTATGTTGTTTTATTATATGCTTGTATAAATGATTACTTTTATTTCCTTTTAAAAATGAATTTCGAAAATAAAGCCGAAACGGTGAGTGAGAATAAAAAATTAGACGAAAGTGACGATATTTACTGGAGCTTTCATCTACATGC